CACCATCTGGCAGTTCGATAACGAAGGAAGGCGTGCGCGCCCACAGAGAAAGATGCGTGCCTATCTCGGAGGTAATGAGGTGTAGAATGCAAAGCAGCAGGCAGGTGCCACCACCATGTCGTCTTAGGAAAGCGTAGGAAGAACTTACCTTTTTGATCATCTCGTTGCACTGTCAGCGCAGCGGCATAAACGCTATGGTCCTTAAAATTACTTGTGTGTGCCTTCTGTAGTATAAAGGCACACATACAAAACATCGACGTGTTATTGTGGAGCCTCAAATATGCATAATAATTGTTTTTAATTGACAAGCGCACAAGTATGAACGCTGAACCGTGAGCCATATTGGTGGGCGCTGCGTATGGGGGTGGTCGTTTGGGGCTGTTTGAGGTATCGGTAAGGGCGGACAAACAGAAAGTTTTACAGACAGACAGACAGACAGACAGACAGACAGACAGACAGACAGACAGACAGACAGACAGACAGACAGACAGACAGACAGACAGACAGACAGACAGACAGACAGACAGACAGAAAGACAGACAGACAGACAGACAGACAGACAGACAGACAGACAGACAGACAGACAGACAGACAGACAGTGACAGACAGACAGACAGACCAAAATTGTTCCGTCGATGGTACCCAAGTAAGACTTTAATCAAACTGGCAAGCGATCTATCCGTCCTCGTGCTGCTCTGCTGCTTCTGCTCCAGAGCACACTCGCCGGCTTGTCCTGTGTGGTATGCCATAACAATATAGTGGGAAAAGCGCGTACAAAAGATGGAAAAGAAAGATACAAAAATTCGCACATATAGAAAGAAAGAGGAAAGAGAAATGCTTGGTGAGGAGAGATTCATAGCCGTGTACCCTCAGTCTTAATGTGAACGTCGTAACCACTCAGCTAACCAGGTACGCTAGCAGAGGTTAGCGTGGCCTAGTATACTATAATACAGCTAGAGGGCGAAGAGAGCTAAGTTAAGCTGAGGTGGAGAGAAAGGAGGAGGGCTGAATGAGTATAGAAAGATAGAAATAAAGAGATATAAAGGGAGACAAAGAACGAAGAAACCAGAATGAAAGGGGAAAGAAAGATGGACAGAAGGTGAGAAACTGTCTTCACATAGTGAGAGACAAAAAGTGACAGAGCAAATATTTAAGCAAAGAAAGGAAAGAAAACTAGATACGATAGAAGGACAGACAAAAAATAGGAACAAAGAAATAAATGCATTCAATGAAGCATACAGAAAAAAGACAACAAGAATACAGGAAGCATAGCTTCATGCCTTATGCTATTTTATACCAGAGGGTGGAAATAGTAAGAGAGATTTTAAAAGCTTAGCAAAACCTGGACCTGCTACCAATCCACCAGGTTTGCTCTGAACCAGCCTTGCACACAGATTTTTTTTTTATTTTTTCCCCGGAACGCGGTACTGAAGTTGCCTTTGTGCCGAAAATGGGTGCGCTTCACAGAATACGACCGGGACGAAAGAGGCAATTCCAAGAGTAGCGAAAGTTGGGTTATAGTCTAACTCCAATTACAATTGCCTGCTTCCTATTGCAATTGCCTGTATTGCAGTCTACCTCAGTTTGGTTTTATCCTTATGCTTGCCTCTACAGGTCACTGACACTCATTGGGAACCCTAAGCTTGACGCCAGGCTAAAAGAGTTAAACCACTTTCATACGCGTGATCTAGGCTGGTTATTCCAATTTCAAAAACACGACCAACATGGTATAAGCAAAAAAAAAAACTGACATCTTCGGCTATATTCTATATAGCTTGAACCAGCAAAGTAAAAAAAAATGTGCTGTTGCCGAACTGTTTGCTTGTCTGCTGTGGTCTTGCTGATGATGGTCTTATTGATAAGTGGTATCGCTGATGATGCTTCGTCACGGATATTCTTAAAAGGAGTGGTGCTCATTTGCTTTATCTTGAAATCATTTTTGACTCCTTGAACAGAGAGCCTTGCTGAAACTAAGGCTTGAAGCGTTTTTGCTCTCTTCAAGGCGGTTGATTTGAACACGGCAAGATTACTTGCCGAAAAACTGTCTCCGCAACTTTATTGTTGTTATATTGGCAAAAGTTTTAAGTAACTACGAGCGAGGGACCACATGAATTTTTGTTGCAGGGGCCAGAGAAGAGGATAACCGGAATTTATTAGGTCTACTGGTGTATGGCAAATTGCACTGACGAACCGCGAACTCTCATATTTTGGTTTTTGTTCCGTCAATGATTCCAATACATAGGCACCTGTCACAGAGCGCTTGGCCGAAGCTACGACAGTGCCATTTTTTCAGAAGCCACGTTATTACAAAAACTGATATTGCCTAACTCGCGAAAAATAGTTACCAAATGAACTTTATTTTTTGTATTTTGCAAGTGAACTACAGGTCGAAAAGCAATGGGGCAGTTACATGAGAAGTCTGTTGAATATGTGGAGAATATGGGACACTGGCTTTATCTTGTTAGCACGGCTAAAGTACCACTGTTGGTCTTCGTAAAATTTATCAGTTCACTTTATTACTCGTGACCAGCTCCACAATCCCTCGTTGTACCTATGTGTGTGCACGCTAGTACGCATGTGAAGTGCGGACTTTTCTCGTCTTTCTCTCTTTTTTTTTATAACTCCTCTTCTTCATCACAAGCTTCAAGGTAACCAGGAGGCTAGGCCGGGTATAACAGTTTTGAATACTAGCGAAATGCGTAGACAGGGACAGTAATACATAAGCGAGCACTTAGCTGCCCCTGCCTACGCACTGCGCTCGTATTTCAAACCACCTGAATCACTTACTCACACAATCAACCATTGTGGCCTGGTATAACCTTCCCGCCTTTTCTTTATGACTCTCCCTGTTTACCATGCTTAAAACGTATATGGCTGGGTGTGCGAGGAATACGTTCTCCTCAACTTCGGGACGGCTCACTGCTCTCCCATAGTTGAGTATGAAGTACTCGAAATCGCTGAACTATTTTTTTTTCTAAACATATTTCGGAGCACTCATACAGCATGGTGTTTCGTACGCAGCCGCATTGGCAAATGCACAAGATCACCGCCGTCTCAAAAGCCATTTGGGAGCCTTGGGTGGAATCAATGGTAACATTTGGGCTGGCATTGATCAAGTTGGTCCCCGTGGAGGCCTAGGTTACACCGCCAGCATTGGAGCAAATGTTGGTGCAAGGCTAGGTGGTCGCGGCAGTTTAGGCCTAGGCGGCCAAGGTAAGAACTCTAACTCACGTCATGTCATAATAAGAATCAGCATGCCTCACGATACCTGCGTGATGTTTGCGCAGTACACGTACAATTTGTTGCACTATTCAATAAATTAATTTCACATAATGACGAGTGCTGCCATTTGTGAAATATTATGATACAGAACTAATTTCTTTATAGTACAACATGGTATTGACGGAACCTATGAGTGAAGTCACCGTAGACAGCAATATGCGTAGTATTTATCAAAACAAGAATCATATAGCAGTCCATGAAAACGTAGCTAACTCTAATTCCAGTAATATGTTCCGTAGAGTTTTATAAGTATTCTAATGCTTCAAACGTATGAATATATAGATAAATCCTATTTGAGAAATATTCGGAAGAAAAATACGTCCCACGAGAAGTTGAATTGAAGTGGCTTACGGAACGTTCAAGGCTGAAGTAGTTAGGGAAATATCAGTATTAAATTATCAAGATAGTGTACTGCCTGTCAGGTACGTTAACCAGGGCTAAATTTCCCCTGTAACTAAATAATTTGTTGGGTTGTTCATGTCAAGACCAATATGTGGTGTCGTATGCTGTAGTTGAGCCCCAGAGTAACTTTGAACACATGCTCCTAATTAACAGGCACTTGATTCTAAGAAAACCGTCATTTTTTGCAACTCGCCTCACCCCTGTCACATTGTGGCTGACGTGATCAGTAATCGAACCTGCGCCCCAGGTTGAGCACTCACACAACTTACTTCTGAAGCTGCCCCGCCACGGTGGTCTATAGTGGCTAAGGTACTCGGCTGCTGACCCGCAGATCGCGGGATCGATTTGCGGCTGCGGCGGCTGCAATTTCCATGGAGGCGAAAATGGTGTAGGCCCGCGTGCTCAGATTTGGGTGCATGTTACAGAATCCCAGGTGGTCGAAATTTCCGGAGCCCTCCACTGTGGCGTCTCTCCTAACCCTATAGTGGTTTCGGAACATCAAACCTCACATATCAATCAATCAATCACTTCTGAAGCTACCACAGCGCGCGAGATAAACTATGTCACATATATTCGCAATTTACTAAGACGAAGGTGCAGAACGAAACGGGTCAGCAAAAGTTTTTCGATGAAAGAATGTGCTGCTGTTATTTTTCATACTATTTATACTGATCACAACAGCTAAATATTTGTTCTTGACACAAAAACAAAGAGAAAAAAAGGGAAATACAGCAAACATTCTAGTTCCTAGCTTTCTTGCACTCAGATTTTGACCATAATTAACTTGTTCTTTAAAGCAGTGCATTGGATTGCTTCTGAAAATCTGTGGTGTATTTTTATTATTTGGTATTGTTTTGTATTGGTATTTACACCTCATCCCAGGCTTACTGAAAACAAAAAGAATATATTGAGCAGTCCCATAAAGTAAAAACCTCATAGACAAATTTATTAATGTTTTCTTTTTCTCTTCAACTAAAACATTTCGGTAATTCGTTCACCGAGACGAAAGTAGTTTTTTTTTTTTACACTTGGCTTCTATTTTGCTTGTATTCCCAAAGAGTGCCATCATTTAGCCCTTGTAACCTTTCACAAGTTTCTTGTAATTGTATTTTAGAAAGCGTTTTCTGTAGGGCCTGGGTAATGTTAATTTCAAGGTTATCTCAATCTCATGAGGACGGATAGCTTATGAATAAAAACTACCTCTTAATATTTTACTTCCTGCCTGTGCATCTTATTTATGCCTTGATTGTTACAAACATGCTGTAATATAGATGAGCAAACCTAGAAGAAAATTAACGCTGATTGCACCACACATAATGGGTTACAACTCGAGCAAATCCTATGCTCTGATTGTAACCTCGTCATTGGCCCTGCCCATGCTGAAGGGCCAGCCACGCGGTTACAGCGTGGTATAAGATGGGCATTAGTATAACCCATTTTGTGTCGCACAATTAGAGTTGATTTTGTAGATTTGTACATTTACATACTGCACTCTTTTGATATCTTATGGAGAAGCGCAATGGTGTAATAAGAAAAACAACGCCAAAAACTGAGAATACATTATCTTTACTTCGGCATAACAATGGGAACATAGTACGTTGATGTCAATAGTCCCCGAATGGTAGTAATTGAAAGGCTTAGCAACGAATTAAAAAAAGGTTACGATTGAAATACTTGTGTTAAGATACTCATAGAGCTAGCATGTTGTTTCCATTTAAAATATGGTGTGTTTCCTATGCCTTATACAATAGGGGAACCTGTAATGTGTATGCGTCACCCCATTCAGGTGCACTGATCCCGAATAAAGGGTTCAGGAGGCCGATATTTGTGTTTAGGAGATAACTAATGCTTCTATCGCAAGTTATTTTATTTCTACGTGTCGAATTGCAAGGTGCCAGGGCGTACTTTATTCTTTATCATTGAAACAAGCCAGTTTGATTTATACTACACCGGAATCGGCTTCTGCTTTGGTAAAACAGGTTATCCTGGTTTGTATGGATCGCACTTGGGCGGCGCCTATGGAGCTTCCCCGTATGGTGGTTATGCCCATTACGGAGCGCCGTACGGTGGTGGATACTACGGATCACACCCGTACGGTCTTTATGGTTCATACGGTGCGTACAATGCACACGGTGGACACGGTGGACACGGTGGACACGGTGGATATGGTGGATATGGTGGATATGGTGGATATGGTGGATACGGGGCATACAACCCGTTTGGAGGAAGTGTCACCTATGGCTATCACGGAGGAAACGGTGGATACGGTGGATATGGTGGACACGGGGCATACTACCCGTACGGAGGCAGTGGCACTTACGGCTATGAAGGAGGAATTGGTGCCTCTAACGAAGGGGGTATCATCTCCTCTGACAGCAGTTCAGCAGGTGCTCAACCAAGTACCCTCAGTGGCCCTGCTTCCGGAGCAGTTGGAACACCTGGTAGCGCACCCAGGTGAGTAATCATACTGTTGTTTTAGCTATGCAGGATGGATTTTCTCCTTAGTTTTGTTGTAGCAACTTGGTAATGTAGTTGGTAAAGAACGTAGCAAGTCAAATGCGAATCTTTTCTATTTTCCTTTACGGGTTCAGAGAAGCGTACTGAGTACGTGATTTTTCAGTAATAAACATGAGGCGTTACAGATCGGATAGCACGCTAACTCTAACTACAGCACATTTTTATTTCTTATTATTATTTGGCATAGAAGAAATGCACAGCATATATGAAATGCACACCAAGACACGACATTGAGTTAGACAAGCGGTATCAGACAACACAGCAGCATTTCCCACAAAGTATTTGAAGTAACCATTAAACGTGCAATAGGAATAACTTTTACAGATATTATGTGCGCCTGTAAACGTGCCAATCGGTACTTGTTAGCCGAGCTAATTCAAAACACTTCTTAAATATTATCTTTTATCAGAGTCTCCAATTCAAGAAGTATAGTATCGGGAGATCAGGGATTTGTTCTTATCTTGTGTTTCTATCCTTTTAAAAAATTCAGATGGTAAGAATAAATAGTTGGAATGAGTGCAATTACATATAATAGCGAGGTTGCCCTTATCATTATTATTTTTTTGTTATTATTTGCAGTGCTGCGCCTGCTGCCTAAACGTGAAGCATGACCAGCATGACGACAGAAAGGCGTCAAACTGCATGTCGCCAACGCTATTTTGGTTCATCGGTCTTTAAGAACTTTTTCAATGTGGACACGACAATGAATTTCTGCATTAAAAAATTTGAATTCGTTAAAGTGCTCAGAGTTTATTCAAGGTCGAAGGCGTTCCTGCAGATCCTACACGTTGTGGGAATTCATTTCCTGTGAAGCCGTCAGCGAAAAGTTGCCTATGGGACAATTTTTGACATTTAGCAAAGTCTTGTGGGGAGGATTGACAGTTATAGAAAATATTGTAGTAGTGTGCTCATCTTCTTCTTAAAAGGTGGCTCGGGTAGGCTGGTGACGTACTGGCCACTCATGATTCACCGTAACGTCCGCAGTACAACGTCACTTACTACTTCTATCAAACGCCAATGTTAGTTGCGCTCTTTGGGGTATTCATGTGGAGAGAAAACAACGGTGAAATAGATTCCCGAGTCGTACCAGTACATATTCAATATTATTGCATTATCAAGTAAATATGCAACACTGCAATCTTCACAGATATTTGACCAGCCACACAATCAAGCCTAATGTAGACAGCCGTTGATGTATTGAGCTAAATTACAATCACTATACATGTGCTCACTGTGTAAGGGTCCTTAAAATTCATTTCGCAGCTTTTCTCTGCTGCATTACAATCGCAAGGTGAAAGAACGGGCATGTATACAAAGTTCTCAGTTACTATTTTTGTTATTTCTAGGTTGATACGGGCTGAAATATTAGTATGTTCAACATATCAAGTGCAAAGAACATGGTTTGCGTGTTTCTACATCATGAAACTGGGGGAAGCATATTCGTAACATAAGGGGTAGGCGTGTCATGTTACTCGTGTGGTGACTTTTCAGGCCTTGTTCGTTATACAGTCATGCTATTTTATTCCCATTTAAGTATATGAGACATTAAGGAGGTGGCCATGAGTTCAATAAGACGCAGGAAGCTAGTTATAGTTATCTAGCTGGCAAAATTTTATGAAAACTTGCTAGTATTTTTATGCCCAATTTACCACTTGGTATGAGATATAAAAAAAACAACCCAAGTGCCACTCATAGACAAACGAAGCATGCGACAAAGTGCGGAAAGCTTTAAGGGGACGCGTCGCTGACATCACTAAACGCTCTGAACCAATTCCGCCTGCTGTAGCGGGCTAAGGAGTGCGCTGTAAGCCATGTCTACCTTAAATAATGTAGTCGCCCGCCTCTGGACGAAAATAATGTTTGCCTAGTCATACAATAAAGTTTAATTATTTCTCTATGGTGACTTCACAAAGAAACTGTCCACCCGTCAGTACAGCAGCCTGTCATATATCGCCGTAACGAAATATAAAAAAAACATCAATTTTCCCTCTTGTGTTTATATTTTAACCCGGCCCCTCACCGTTCAAAGTCGAGCGTCTCAACCTCATAACTGGATATGTACGCTTCCAAATACGTACATATGAGAACTACATTCATGCGTTTTACCCGCGTTATGACACAAACGTACCGAAATAACGCCCTATGTTGATTTATTCGAATTGTTGATAGTAGAACACAGCACCAGGGTGAAATGAATAGGAATAAACAATAAGCTAGACTCTCCATCAAATATACATGTCGCCTTCGATGCTGCGCATTTGGTTACTAAAACAAATGGCGAGCCATGAAGTCATAGAGCTCTTCTCTACATCGACGCAGCGCACCTGTATAGAAAACTTGTGTTAGAAGAAAGTTTGGTATGGTCACCTAGTGAAGAGCACATCGGCATATTCCCTGCATGTCCGGACGAGACATCCGTGTCACAAATTAACAGCTGTATGAAATATTATAAGGGGACATGATGTGCAGTCACAGATAAATTAAGCAAACTTGACAAGTCTGTCCTTGCATATGAGCCTGTCCCAGATGCTTGTGAATGATTATGCAAATGCGTACCGACCTTGACAGGTTTATCCGCAATTGGGTGGCTAGACTGAACCGCGATTCATGCTTTAGGCCTTTACGTTAGCCGGGGGGCTTTAGTAAACTGAAATTAACGTTGCTGAAAATAAATATAAGGACACTTGCGTTGAAGTGCATTCCTTTCTAGTCATTTATATCGAAGTTTGTGAAAACTCCTTGATTTCATGATGACGTTGCAGAAGAAGAACCACAAACAGGATGTGCTCTGCGCACCAAGCTTCAGCCAATCAGAGGAGGTGGAACGGACATTCTATTACAAACCCAACTATGTGCACTTGCGCTTATTTGTGTCATTTTCTTCCTCGTGCCTCATCCTACCATAAAGTTCGTCATGATGAAGAGTTACAAACTTCCGAACTTTCTACGCTGCTAACGTGTAGTCTGTTACATGGAAATATTAAAAATGGCTGCTCTGTACACTTCAGAAAAATTGAACATGTGTGAAATTACGATAACAAGCACAAACTTCGATGTTCACTGAATGCGCGCACCATTGAATTGCTTCCCATGGTACGTGCACGCGAGCTGAAGAGACGATTATATGCTGAACAGTTATAGAAAGAAGATGAAAGACGCCATGCCGGGGCTGCCGGAAGCAGCAAATAAAGTTTACTAGCGGCTGCTTCGCTAAAAAAAGCGCGACGCTTAAGCATCACTCAAACAAATTTGCAAGAAAAATATTCCTGAACTGTTTTCAATTGTACTTTACGATGTGCTTTTCCAATACGTGAACTTTTGTCGTGTGTCACCCTGACTGTGATACTGACGATCAAGTACCCGAGCAAAAGTGATGTTTTCAGGGAAGCATTCAGTGAAAAACCAGCTATTATAATTTTTTTCCATTCCGGCGAAGGTTGTATATAAAGCTTCCCCTCATGAAATGCTCAAAGCGGCAGTGAACACAGTCTTACCCCATGGAACAATGTCAAGTGTTGTGTAAAGGTTTAACACTCATATAACACTCCATAACTCAGCCGATGTCATGAAAAACGTAGGAAGCTGAAAGAAACTACGTTCTTTCAATTTCCTAAATATGGCACATGTCACCTGAGCATGTTGCGGTTCCTCATTTTGTTTCCGAATTACTTTATTGTCAGATAATCTTGATGAAAACCAGGTATCGCTGTTCTCAACACCCCCAAGCAAAGGGCATTATTTTTTAAGCGCCCCGCCGCAGTGGTTTAGTGGCTAAGGTACTCGGGTGCTGACCCGCAGGTCGCGGGTTTGAATTCCGGCTGCGGCTACTGCATTTCCTATGGAGGCGGAAATGTTAGGCCAGTGTGCTCAGATCTGGTGGCACGTTAAAGAAACCCAGGTGGTCAAAATTTTCGGAGCCCTCCACGACGACGTCTCTCATAATCATATGGTGGTTTTGGGACGTTAAACCCCACATATCAATCAATCAAATTAATCTTTTTTTTACGCCAACACCCATTTCGTGGTGTTTGACGCTTTTACGTGGCACTGAGATCCCTCACGTGGTGACATTAAGGGAGAAAAGATTAAAGCGATCAACCTGGGTTCATCAATGGCTAGTTAAACTTCTTAGAAAACGAGGGGTATTAGCAGAATGACAGTATCGGTGCCACATCATTGCATGTTATTTAGACATCGGGATGAATTTCATCACACATATGAAAGGCACCAAAGCGGGGCTATTGACGTGATCTTAAACCTTTCTTCGTAACTATTGTGCTTTGTTATGAAGTCCAGCGCATGATTGTGTCACTTTCGCGAATTTGAACTCACAGGTGCAAGCACTCGGTATACGTCTGCGACCCGTACACAATAACCCGCGGCACGTACACGTGCACGATACCCGCTTCAGCATTGTTCCTTTCGTTCATAGACTCACAGGGCATTGGAAGCACTGTTCTGCTTCTTGAAGCTGACTGGCCGGCGCAAACACCTGTGACAGAGTTACGCTGCTCGTGATCGGTCATCCATTTCCTGGATCTTTTGGTCGTACACTCTAAACAGCTCATCTTCCTGTTTAACCTGTGCGTTTACCCTTCGGTTGATGTCAACATGTACCACATCAGTGTGTCCGCTTTTTGTTTTCTACTTTATGTTTCCTCCATTCTCCTTCATTTCTGCAGGTGTGAGTTAGCTAGCCTATTGTTTGTCTAAGCACAACGCTTTCTTACCGCAAACCAGAGATAACCGGTGTATTTTTCACGAAAAAATTCCAATCACACAACAGGCTCTAAATCCATTTCCACGCTCCACGAGCCACATTGGATGTTCCTTTAAGGCATCCTGAACTAGCACCTCTGTTCCAAATAGTTCGCGTCCAGGTTCATTCGAGCGTGGCAGTACAAACCCATCCTCTTCTAAATGTTGAAGTACATTTA